TTTTGTTTATTATTACTTCTTCCAATTTTATTTAGAAGTTATTTTTATTAATTTTATTAATATTAATATAAATAAAATATAAAAAATAATAATAAATAAAAATTTAAATATAATTTTTAAGTAAACAATAAAAAATAAATAATATAATATTATTTTTTATCTCTCTTACTTTTTAAAGATAGTTTAAGAATTTTGATTTGAAACAAAACAATTTCATTAACTAATGACTTATAAAGTACACCTAATGATACTTCTAGAAGGTAATTAATATACAAGACTCGAAGGAATATAGAGTATTTTTAATTAAATTAAACTTTAATAATCTAGTTAAGGTTAAAATATACATCTAATCGTTTAACTTTATATAATATTTTATTTTAATTTTTTAATTTTATAAATTATTTTTTTAGTCATTTAATCTTAACACTGTTAATTTTATTTCAATAAAATTTTACATTGAACTTTTAAATATTAACAAAATATTTTCAAATGTTGATGTATTAAGTTTAATTATTTTTAAAATAATAATTATTGATACAAAAAATAATCATCTAAAATTAATAATGCTAGGGTTAGATAAGTAAAAAAAATATTTTACAAAAATTGAAGGATAAAATTTTAATTTCATATAAAGTTAGAGGATTAAAAATATAATTTAGTCTTTAATTAATTATCTTTAGAAATTATACTTTTCACTATTGTCCATACTTAATGTTAAAGTATTTCAATTATAAAATCATATTAAATATATCTCTTAATTAAGCATAATTTTTAAAAAATATTATTAATTATATTTTAAAATATCTAAAATATTTTATATTTTTTTACATAATATTTTATTTTTTTAATATTACTGAATGGAGGGATCAGTTCTTTTTATAAGTTAAATTCATTTGGTATAAAAGAATTACTCTCTTTTAACTTTATTCTTTTACGATTTTTTTTAGTAGAGTAAAACGTTACATATAAAAAAGAAAACATTTTTAAATATGACACATTTAGTATGAATAAACTATAAAATTTCTTTCCTTCTACAACAACACCAACAATTTAATTACCTCTCGTTATTTTTGAAAAGTTATAAATGACTTATACTCTGTTTTATTTATAGGTTATTGTTGACATCAATATGTATTTTTCATTAGAGTTAAGAATAATATTAATTAAGCTAGCTCTGTTAAAAAATTTAATAAATCTTCCAATTTCTCCCATTAAATATTTGTAATTCAATAATAAAGAGAAAAACTTATGATAAAAAATTAATGACTTGAAATATAAATAAAAAACTATCTCATTCTCTTTTAAGTAGTACTCTCTTTATCCCAAATGAGAAGACAAAGTTGGAGGAATACTGTTGGTTCAAAATGTAAGATAATTTAAGAAAAATAATGATACATATCCAATGTTATTACATGTTATTGGCATGCACAATATTTTTAACTTTATCTTATAATTTAAAAGGAGGGAGAGCTATACTTCTTCCATTCTAAAGCATAAGATATTTTTAATCTTTTAAAGTGTAATTATTGTCTTTTTTAAAAAATACTCTTATTGAATAAATTATTTTATATTTATTTTAGAATAAAACACTCTGTTAAATAGAAATACATATATAAAAAATAAAATTTAAAAATAAATAATTACTTTATTAAATAGTAATATTCAATTAAAAATGTTTTAAATTTTTAAACGGGTGGGGTATATGTTAAGAGTGGTCGTGGGATCATAGAGGATTCCAACGGGCAGATGACTGAGGATCACGGAGACAATGCATGGGTGATGCCTGAGGTAGGAACTAGGAATGAATTATTATTCGTTCATCCCATGAATAGTTACCTAAGAAACGTGTAGTGTAGTGGTTCACTGAAACAATTGTCATAGCCAGCCAGGGCCGAAGCGGCCAATGTCGTCCCTTTTCTTTAGCGTGAACATGTCTCTCACTCTTCATTCTCACTATCAAATACTGTTTTCGTCATTTCGTGAGAAACTTTTGATACCTATAATATTATCATCGCTGCAATGCCTACACTTGGAACAACGAACGCGTATTATTCCCAACACTGTTCTTGCTTATGAGTTTCGGGCCGATCGACTACAAGGTCTATTCTCGCCTTATTGGTCACCGAGTCTCCTCATCAAAGGCTGAGGTAAAAATGTAGTAAGTGTATGGTTTGTTGCCTACCATAATCTCAGTACTTAAATTTTTTTCTTAATTATTGATTTAGAGCATTTCAACTTTAACTTGATATAACCCAACTTATAATTTTTAAGTTAAGAAATTGTACCAATTTAAAAATTATAAGAATTCTTTCACAACTCATAATTTGTAGAAATTTTAGACTTTGGAAAAGGGTCAAGGGCTTCTAATTCTGCAACTGCTCGAAGCTTGTTGTAATAACCCCCACATATGCTGTCTCACTCCATTCCCCTATCAATGTATTCAAATTCAATTCATTAAGAAATGGACGTAGAGAGATTACAAAAATTAAAGATTGATATTCACTGTGCTGTCTCACTCTCATTTCCCTGTCAATGTATTATAGATCAATGTATTTTTGTACTATGTGGATAGATTTTTGTATCAACTCCTTTATTTTAATTCACTACTTCCCACACTAACAAAATCAATAATACAAAAATTATCTCCTTCATCCCAAAAATATGACATCAAATATATCAAGCTTTGTTTGTAAATAAAATTAATTAGAGTTAAATACAGTGACCTTCTTCCATTTCGCTAATAAAATTGCAGACATCTCCCCTCTATTTTCAAAACCTACAGTTTAATCCAATATTTAACAGTGTTAGGAATATTCTAATAAAGATTCTAAAATACTTAATTTTTTATTTATCTTAAAAATTTTAAAATTATTAATTTTCCCTCATGATCTAATTGTCTGCTCTCTCTCCCAATTCAAAAAAAAAACTTTAAATAATTAAGTATGTCAATATTTAAATAAATAATTGAGAATTGAGTTGTTTTGTGCCAAAGTGCAATGAGTGAATTAATAAATAAAGTGCTCCTTTAGTTTTTCATTGGTTAAAAATCAATTTGTCAAAAGTTTGTTCAGTAAAAATTAATTTAGTGAAAGTTATTTATTTTAATAAAATTTATATTTAAATATATTTTTAAAATCAGTTTGGTAAACATAATTGATTGATTTTTGAATTTACTTCCTAAATACTTCTCTAGATCATGTTTGCAAGTCCACTTTCAATTAGTTTTCCAATGCAGTTCCTAGAAGTCCATCCGCTCACTTGCAAAACAACCAAACAACATCCCACATCTTGAAAGTGGGATGTTACCTCCCCAAAAGCTAAATGTAGCTAACCTAGGTCAAAAAATAAGTTGAAGGATCAAAAGTTATAATTTTTTAATTTTTTTATAAGTAGTTTCTATTAATTTCATCGATCCTACTATAAAAAAACTAAAAGGAGTAAAAATGTACAAAATTTTAAATATACCTCTATATAACAAATCTAAAAAATAATATTATGTTACTTTTTCTCTCTTATGAAACGTAATTTAAAAAATATTTCTCAAATATTATTTAAACAACCACACCGTGATTAATAAATGAGATCAAATGAATCTTCTAAAATTTTTTTTATAAATGAAACCGAAGGGATTATTTTCCATTTATTGTTTATGAGTGGACCTTTTTTATTTTGTTATAAAAATATGCTTTGATTTATTGACAATATTGATTGCAAATGATATGTTATAGCAGGTGAAGTTGCACTCAAGTTTCGAAGGAAAATTTGAATGATTGTTAAGTTTTGAGAAAAATAATTAAAAAGTAATTTCTAAATATTAACTCAAATAGTTTGAAATAAGAAAGCTCTCCTAACAAATCATCTAGAGTGTCATGTATTGTAGATTTAAATGTATATATAATTTGATTTGATATCTGCAAGCTGCAACACTCTTTCATTTATGTTGTAAATACTATCATATTTTGTGAATGAATCTCCCGTCATTCAAAGAGCCTAATCATGACTTTAATAAAATCATGCTATTTTACTTCCGTCCATCATTCACGAATCTAAGGGGTTTTTTTTTTGGCCAAATGAATCTAAGTTATTAAGTAAATGAACATTCATGCAACACACCAAATACATCAATGAATCTTTGGTTCTTGGAAATGTGTATCGTTGTGCCAATATAAGTACAGTGTAATCCATCGGTGGCCTTGTGCCATAGCAGTGCTAGCTAAACACTTCCTTAAGTGTTTTGAAGTGCGAGGTTACAGGTTGCATTTAAGTTTCTGTGACTGTGATGTGTGCATAAATTACTTTCCTTGGGTGACGGACGACAAAAAAAAAAATCCCTTAAAAAACATCTAATCAATGTCTTAGTATTTATTAAATGGATGCATATAAATAAAACTCTATTACAAAGTTTTGTACTCAAAGTGAATGAAAAATCTCCCCGGACAGCCCTTTCTTAAATCTTTTTCTTATTCACGTGGCATATTTTTCCAATTTTTCATGATTTTTATAACAATTTTACATTTTTTAAATTTATTTTATGAGATTAAGTTTCATTCTCCTTATGTTTTAACATTAAGTTAGTTTGATATATCCATACACACGCACACACGCACATATAAGTTTAATAATAATCATTTATAACGTACATTAAATTGAAGCTGGTACAGACTTTATGATGACGGATTAAAATATGACAGGTCATTCAACTAACAATTTAAGAATTAATAATTAAAATTACAATTGAATGAGATTAAACATATTTTGTTAAATCAATACGAACGATAATTTAATATTTATTAGCATAATTGAATGAGTTAACTCATTTCCATAATCATAATTGATGAGTGACATTTATAGAAAGAAGAAATAGTGCTTGAGGGTAGCCTAGTAAAAAGACTGAATATTGAGGCTGATTTAGAAGTGGTCTTCTTCATTGTCCGAAATCGTGGGCACGAAGATTAATATATTTATATAAGAAATGCAGAATTGAAAAACCTTCTCCGAAAAAAAAAAAAAAATCTGACACTCGTACACCCTCTCTTTCTCCTTCTTAAAAGGACAGCGAAAAATAATGGCGGTTGTGTTTCGATTGATTGGAGGAGCAGGGAGAAACTAACTCTGTGTGTGAGCTAGAGAGAGAATACGTGTGTGGAGTGAGTGACAGAGGAAGCGGGAAGCAATACTCGCACCACCACCACCATAGCCACTAGCTCCAGTTCCGATTTTTTCCATTACTGCAAAATGAACCATAGCACCCAACCCAACACAGGATTTTTCACACTCCAAGGTTGGATACCTACTATTGTTTCCGTTTCTTCTCCATGAAAATACTGACACTCCCACTTCTGTGCCAGTCATCCTTTGTTGTAACTTTGCTTCACTTTGCCTCGAGACTGAGTGTGTGAGCTGATTTCTCGTCCATTTGGCCTTTATCTTTTTCTTGTTTAGTTCTTTTTGTCATTGAGATCCGGTGTCTTCTGGGATATTCGTTCTTCTTTGGATGAGATCTATTGGCTCCCGAAGTTTATTGGGCGGTCTAGTTTGTGAGTGTTCTTGGGTTTCCGTGAAAGTTGTTTCGTCTTGCCGAATTAGGCAGTGAAAAATCAGATAGCAGAACTCTCAGGGTCGAGAATCTGTAAGTTTGAGCTGAAGATTGTGGTGTGAAGCCTTAAGTTGAAGATTGGCGGGCTTGAGGAGGATAGGGAAGCGAATGAGGCGTAAACCTATTGCTTTTTGCTGTGAAACTGGTTTTGGCTAATGTATGAAGGGCGGGAATCTTCTGGGTCTGTGAGCATTCTTGTTGATGGTCAGTCAAGCTACCTCAAACTCAGAGAATATAGGTGTATTTAGGTTGACTTAGATGGTTTTTGTTTGTTAGAGGGAAGAAGTAAGGAGAATGATAAGAGACGAAGCGGATTATTTTGTGGTGTGGGAGTCAGTTTTGGAGAATTTTGTGTCTTAATTGTTCTACTTAGAGCTTGTATTTGAATATTTGGTTGTGACTGTGAGCTGAGTTACAAGTTGTTTAATCGCTGAAATGAGATTCTCTTCAGCTGGTTTTAATCCTTCACCCCCGGAAGGTATGTAAACACTTGCCTGCAGATTGTCTCTCCTTCATCGCCACGTCTATTTTCGCCATTTTTTCCGCCAATAATCATGTCATTCTTCTCCGTGAAAGCCTGATGGTAAATATAATGATGTTACTAAGTTCCGTGTTTTAAACATGGTAATCCATACCTGCTCCATGAGTTTCCCCCCTTTTTTGGGGTGTTTGTTCTTGTTTTTGGAATTCAAGATCTTGGCCTTGCCATCCACATGCTGAAATTTTGAAATTATTTTGTTCTGTGAGACACTTGAACACCGTAGTTGTGGACTTTCATTTCCTTACTTATGATATAGGAATGAATTTTCCAGGAGAAAAGCGAGTTCTGGATTCTGAGCTTTGGCATGCCTGCGCTGGCCCTCTTGTTTCCCTGCCAGCTGTTGGAAGCCGCGTCGTCTATTTCCCCCAGGGTCATAGTGAACAGGTGAGTGAAAACACAAGAGTACAATGAACCCCGATTGGTTCTTGCCCCTAATCTTTGGTTTCTCTGCATCTGCTAAGAGGGGGCTGCTTTATAACTTTTTAATTAGCCAAGCAATGATTTTAACCCGTTAAAAAGTACAATTCCTTACTCTTGAGTATCTGAATGTTAATATTTTCTTTCCAAAGCGCTTTTCTGTTTATTTGCTATGCAAGCTGCGTGCCTTCATATCCTAATTCTGCTGTTTTTTTTGGCTTAGGTTGCTGCATCAACTAACAAGGAGGTGGACGTCCATATTCCCAACTACCCAAGCTTACCTCCCCAACTTATTTGTCAACTTCATAATGTGACTATGCATGTACGGCCTTTCTGAATTTGGTTTGCTGCTGTTTTAAATTCTCTTGTATGTTGATCTTCGCACTCTTTTTTGGTTAATCAAGGTTTTGTGTTTTATTTATCTTGGATTCAGGCTGATTCAGAGACTGATGAAGTGTATGCTCAGATGACCTTGCAACCTCTGAATCCTGTATGACACCTGTGTAACTTAGTAACCTGGTTTGCAGGTTGTATGGGATCTTCTCTCTTCGTCCTTTGACTATGTTTATGTTTGCAGCAAGAACAAAAGGAGGCATACCTTCCAGCAGAGTTGGGAACTTCCAGTAAGCAACCAACAAATTACTTCTGCAAAACTTTGACTGCTAGCGACACAAGCACTCATGGGGGATTCTCTGTTCCTCGTCGGGCTGCTGAGAAAGTGTTTCCTCCATTGGTAAACCTCCTTTGTAAATTCATATTTAAAAGATATAACTTTTGTTTTGCAAAAGCTTGTGAATTTCTAACTTTAATTTAACGTGCAGGATTTCTCTCAGCAGCCTCCTGCACAAGAATTAATTGCACGGGACTTGCATGGCAATGAATGGAAATTCAGACATATCTTCCGGGGTAAGATCTGCAGATGGTAAAATGTAAAATTGGGAATTTCTTCTCCGTTATAAGTTTCTATATTTTTTGTTAATGACAAAGGATAAATATCTGGTTTACAACATGGGACTTTGGCTTCTTTCTACAGGCCAGCCTAAAAGACATCTACTTACAACAGGGTGGAGTGTCTTTGTAAGTGCTAAAAGGCTTGTTGCTGGTGATTCCGTGCTGTTTATTTGGTAAGTATTTTTTTGGTTTCGTTCTATTTTCATTAGTAATCTAGAGTGGCACAGGTTTGTATCTCGATAGCATGCATTGTAGTATTCTTCGTCAATTTTCTTTCTCTTTTTCTTTCTTGGCATCAGATTTGGCATATATCCTTTGGCACTTATTGCTGATTGACTAGTCTTCCGGAGCAAAGTCAAATCTAAATTGTTATCAATCCATTCAGAAGAATATATGAAAGTCTACTTTTGGATGAGCATCACACATATAAATGTTTATTTGAGGTTACTCATGAGTGAGAAATCCTTTTTGGGATTACTCTTGGTAAGTTAGTGTTACTGTTTAATGTAATGTGCCTATGATCCGGGCTTCAAGAGTGTGGTTGTTTCTCCTGTCTCCTAGCTACTGGCTTTGTTTTTTAGGTGTATTGGTACTGCATTAAGCACTATCAATTTAGCTGATATTTGAATGAAACCATTGAGATTAATGAATTGATTACATTTTTTTTTTATACAGGAATGAAAAGAATCAATTGCTTCTTGGTATTCGACATGCAAATCGACCACAAACTGTGATGCCATCATCAGTGCTTTCAAGTGATAGCATGCACCTGGGGCTTCTTGCTGCTGCAGCGCATGCAGCTGCAACAAACAGCCGTTTCACCATTTTCTATAACCCACGGTACAGTTGGTAGTAATTTGTGAAGCTTTTGACATGCCACATACGAGCTTCAACTTCATAATTTCTGTTTTCTTTTTTAAACTCAGTGCCAGCCCATCAGAATTTGTCATACCCTTAGCAAAGTATGTCAAAGCTGTGTATCATACCCGAGTTTCAGTTGGTATGCGTTTCCGGATGTTGTTTGAAACAGAGGAATCAAGTGTCCGGCGGTAGGTTTACAAAGCGTTATTGTTGAATTTGTCAGTGCAAGATATTTTCATCATTGATGTGCACTTGTGGGTTGTTAATGAGCTTGAGGAAATTGATTTATAAGTCAAGAAAGTTGTCTTTTTTACACAACCTCATGCGTTAGCTTAAGTTTAAGTGACTGATTTAGAATCTTCTTTAAAATTATTATAATCAGCATCACTGTATTTATGATGGCACTATTATTGCCATGTGAACGTTTAGAAAGGAATAGATTCAATTTATGCTTCTGGTACTACAACCTTAATAAAGCCTCAGTGTGTCATCTATAAAGTTGCTTTGATCCATTTTCTCATTGACTGGATAAATGCTATCAGTGACCTTAGTATTTGTGACACAAGTTTCTAAATACGTCATGTTTCTTCCATGATCAGATACATGGGCACAATCACTGGCATCAGTGACCTGGATCCTGTTAGGTGGCCAAATTCACATTGGCGATCAGTTAAGGTCTGCTAGGAAACACTAATATTTTATTGCTGTGATATCATATAATTATTTTTAATGCTAGTCCAGATGCTGGACTTCTAATACGTTGCTTGGTGAAAGGTTTTTAACCTATTGGAAAAGATCTTACAAGTCTGGATTTGAATTGAATTGCAGGTTGGCTGGGATGAGTCCACAGCTGGAGATAGGCAACCTAGAGTGTCCTTGTGGGAGATTGAGCCGTTAACAACATTTCCAATGTATCCTTCCCCATTCCCTCTTAGGCTTAAACGACCATGGCCTCCCGGACTGCCTTCTTTCCACGGTATGCTTGCTAGTTTCAATGATGAAAATATACAATTGCCTTTGACTACCTAAATGAGTGCCAGCTGTAAAAGATTTCCAAATCTTTATCTGAGCAGTCTTGGAAACTGAAGTTTTCATTTTGTATGAAATGTTTTCAGGTATGAAGGATGATGATTTGGGTATCAATTCTCCGCTTTTGTGGGATAGAGGGCTTCATTCTCTTAATTTTCCAGGAATTGGGGTTACTCCTTGGATGCAGCCAAGGTTTGATCCCTCCTTTCTGAATTTGCAAACTGACATGTACCAAGCCATGGCTGCTGCTGCCCTTCAGGATATAAGGACTATAGATCCTTCCAAGCAGCATTCAACATCCCTTCTTCAATTTCAGCAACCACAGAACTACCCCAACCGGACTGCTGCTTTAGTGCAGGCCCAGATGCTGCAGCAGTCTCAACCTCAGCAAGCTTTCCAAAATAACCAAGAGAATTTGCATCCATCTCAACCTGAGCCTCTAAGTCAGACTCATCTTCAGCATCAACACTCTTTTGTTAATCAGCATCAGCCGCAGCAACATCAACAGCAAAGTTTTTCTGATCAGCAGATTTCAAATACTGTGTCTACAATGTCTCAGTTTGTTTCGGCACCTCAACCTCAGTCGCCACCAGGGCAAGCTATTTCTTCATTTTGCCATCAGCAAAGTTTTTCTGATTCAAATGGGAACAGTGTAACTACTGCAATGGTTTCTCCCCTGCATAGTATTTTGGGTTCATTTCCCCAAGAAGAAACTTCCCACCTTCCTAATATCCCTAGGACAAGCTCTTGGATACCTGTTCAACCTTCTACTGCTACTGCTACTTGGCCTTCTAAGCGTGTTGCTGTCGACCCTCTCCTTTCTTCTGGAGCTTCTCAATGTGATCTGCCTCACATGGATCAGTTAGGGCAGCGCCAGAATACATTGTCTCATAATGCAATTACTTTGCCACCCTTTCCTGGAAGGGAGTGCTCGATTGACCATGAAGGGAGTGCTGATCCACAAAACCATCTTTTATTTGGTGTCAATATTGAGCCCTCATCTCTTCTAGCACAGAACGGGATGTCAAGCCTTAAGGGCATCAGCAGCAACTGTGATTCCACAACCATACCTTTTCAGTCGTCCAATTACCTGGGTACTACAGGCACTGAGTCTACATTGAATCCTGCGATGTCGCAAACCATTGGTGAATCAGGATTCTTACCGGTCCCAGAGAATATGGGCCAAGGAAACTCCCCAAATAAAACCTTCGTAAAGGTGATTTTTCCCTGTTGAATTCATGAGAGTTATAATGCATAAGGTTTTAGTTGACCTGTTAATACCACCATTTTTATTTTGGTATGCTTTTTACAGGTTCACAAGTCAGGGTCCTTTGGAAGATCATTGGATATCACTAAATTCAGCAGCTACCATGAGCTGCGCCGTGAGCTTGCTCGTATGTTTGGCCTTGAAGGTGAATTGGAGGACCCTGTAAGATCAGGCTGGCAGCTTGTATTTGTTGACCGAGAGAATGATGTTCTTCTCCTTGGTGATGGCCCTTGGCCGTAAGTATCCATCTTCCCATGCCCTTTAAACAAAGTTCAGCATAATTCAAGCTATTGACTATTGTGCTACCCTCCTTATTGTGGAGAAAATTATTTATGCATACAAGCATCCTATTTTTATGAAATCCAACCATCAAATTTCCTCTTTTCTGTACTTTACTTCCCTCGTTTAGTGCTGCTTTATTCTTTACATCTTCTATTAAAACTTGTTCTCTAATTCTGTTAAATTACAGGGAATTTGTCAACAGCGTATGGTGTATCAAGATACTATCCCCGCAAGAAGTGCAACAAATGGGCAATCCTGGCCTCGAGCTTCTGAGTTCAGTTCCGATTCAAAGGCTTTTCAATGGAGCATGCGAAGACTATGTGAACCGACAGGACCCAAGAAGTTCAAGCTCTGGGATCACAACTGTGGGGTCTCTTGACTACTGAACTATGTGACAGTCTAGATTCTGCATTTTCATCTGTCTCCTGTAATATTATTCGCTAATGGCGAGAATTTGTGCTTAGTTGTAGTTTATAGTCTTGCTCATAAGCCTTTTGTTTTTTGTTTTTTGTTTCTCCCAGCTAGGTCTATTCATAAGGACATATACTGTAATTATGTTACATTTCACCCTGTGCTTACAGTATATGAAATATATAACTTGTTAGGAAATGGCTTGTGTGGATACCTAAAGTTTTATTGAACCTGAGTATTTTTGGCAAATCTTTGAATTCATGAAGTGTTCTACAGGACAGTGAATGTGAAGTTAGACAGACTTGGTGATCATTAACTTGATTCCTGACCGAACTTTCTGATAAGCAGGTGGAAGGTGAAGATTAACTGTTTATTTTACTATTTCTTGACACACAAACTGCACGTGATGCTATATTCTGCTGATCGTTATGGCCAATTCTGTTGGCAGGTAGGAAAATTGTTTCTTTTGGTTCTCTATTATGTTTTACTGAAGGGTCCCAAAGTAGGTTTTTAATTTGGAAATGTTTTGAAGAGGATATGATCCTTTGAATAAAAATAATCTTCAACAGGGGTTACCAGTGATACATCTAGTTGTTTTATTTTGGTTGGCTTTATCCTTGCGAGTTTGATTGTCAAACATTTTAGCTGATTGAATCTGCCAAACATCAGGCCGCTAAGATCATGTGCTCTGTCTCACTCAATATCGAAGGATGAAAGTGGCCTGGTCCCTGGCTTTCTTGTGAGAGGTTCATTCTTGCCATGTCATGTTAGCTAGTTCTCTTAGACAACACAATTAAATACTATAAAGCCTATTAATAACCCACCAATTGTCAATAAATTTTGTAGTATTTAATTATCTTGTGAGGGATCTAAACATGATTTCCTTAAAAAATGTGGTTCGTTGGGTCCAAAAAGTTATTCGAGGTCAAAGCAAGCCTAACTGATATATTTATAGATTACCCGATTTTCGTTGACAGATTTCCGAGCGTCCCTCTTGAGAGATGAGATTGGTTCATAGCAACTAGTGCAATCTATATTTGCATGACACATCTATTACTTTGAACATGAACATGAGGGTACAATGGGCATGTGATGTGCTTGTCTCTGAAACATCCAAGCATGGAGAAACAGTCATACGGTGGCTTCCATTAGTTTGATAGTGCCTTTGCTCTGTTTTCTCCTTGATTTTAGCCATGCATCCTTTCTTCAAGAGAAAAAGCTGTTCATTTAACAAATATATACTCCATGTATGTTAATAATGAGATGAGAGAGAAAAATGGAAGCAAATGAAAAATAGAGAAATTAAGTCTCAAACTAAATTTGCACTTTTTGTTAATACTTTGTGAGGATGTTCGTAATGGCTCTATTATGTTTAGAAAGAGGCTAAGGCATATGAAGACCTCTAATCTTTTCCCACATTTTACTCATGGAAGCTAACGACACTTCCAGCCCATAATGATTGTTAATAACATATATATATATATATATGTATATTTGTTTATTTATTTTGGTTATGAAATATCAAGTTAATAGCTAACATATGGAGATGTTGAAAAGTAGGAAAAGTAGAAAAGGGCATGTAATGCATATCCTTGTCATCCACCAAACATGTGCCTTTTGACTACTTGCCATGTGATAGAGGAGGATCTTTAGGTATTATTCAAGAGACACAATTCTTATATAAATTTTCAAAATGTTTCTCTTAAAAAATTAATTATGGTTTAATGTGTTTCCATATTCAATTTAATTTTTTTTATCTCCGTCCACTACATTTGAACTTTCAACCCCTTTTTAAAGTGAATTTAGTTCTTTTTATTCAACCTAACTATGTTGCTCATTAATAGAGTCCAAAACCAAAGTAGCATGATTACAACAACAATAATAACAATTCATGTTCCGCTAGAAGGGATTAGTTACATAAGTTGCATGTTGTAATTGTGCTCTACCAACAACCAACCGTGTTATGCAATTAAGAAGTCAAACAACCACACAAACACAATTAAATCATGAAATTTAAAGAAGTGCCTCTAAGTATAGCCCTTGCAAGTGCACGCAGTGAAAAGAATCCAAGTAAATTGAGGGAGGGTGATTGGAAAAAGTGCAACTTAGGAATAGCATATAGGACAAGATTGTCGGCATAATGGACAAGTTAGAAGGAGTCGAATGGCATTAAACGTTGGAGGAGAGGGCAGAGAATGGACACATGGTGTGGGGCTATCCTATTAGTTGGAGGCACTCTGTTTCTGCGGAATAATGACAAGCCAGGCCACTATCTCTCCCTCTCCTCCATTATTTCCTTGGTGCTCGCTTCCCTACTTTTCATTTCCTTTTCTCCCAACAGATATCTAACTTTTCAATATTACATCAAATAAATGACCTCGCAATTATTAGGTCAAATGAATGCGTTTGATGCTCCTGCTCTAAGATCATGGGTGTTAAAACTTTGTTAAGAAAGTTACCCTTATTTAGATTGGATCATGCTCATATTGATTAGTTGGTGGTTTGGCCCCTTTGGTTTTGTCATCTTCAATATTAGAAAATTTTTTTCTCACTTTCAAAAAATCAAGATATTGTTTGGATATTAAATTTTAGCTAAACCATCTTTTGAAAAAGCACATCTCAAATGCTATAAAAGTGAATTTTAACATATACACATGTTAAAAATTGAATCTTAAACGGATGACAAAACAGTGTGAGTGCCCAACACTCAAATCCATCAATTTTAACATATAAGATTCAATTTTATCGACCATAAGCTGTGAATTTTAACATAGAATTTTAACATATATGTATGGTAGAGGCAAGCTTTATTAAAAATAAATTTGTTTACATATATACTAAAATGGAGAAAAATTTGCATCTATGACCCACATGGCCACACATGACCGAAAAGTTTGAATGAAGGAAGTTGAACACTTGCAAGCACCAAGTTTCCACTGTAGAAATCGACGCTCCCTTTTTTTTTTTTATAATATGAACATACTATACTCATTCAATAGAATGTGAAAATGTTACAAGAGACTGAACAACAGTGAATAAAAGCAGACCAGCCATTTCTAATCAACTAATGGGTAAGGGATTAAAACCATTAAAGTTCTTAGATAAGTTATGGGTTAACTTAATATGATAGTTAGCCATCTTGTTATCGTCCTTATACAAAAAGTTAAAGTTTAAAGTTCAATTTCTATAAAGAATCAAATTTACTTGATGATGCTTTGAAAGGGTTGGTAACTATAGTTATCCCTTGTGATTGTTAAGATAACTTGTGCACAATCATAAAAAATTTCATAGTTTTGTACCTTTTTTGCCATCATAATTCAAGACCCTTGAAAATACCAAACAATTCAACAATGATGAGGGGACATGTCCTAATTTTTTATTAAAATCCTGAATCCAAGCATTGTTTCTATCCTTCAAAACTTCACCACACCAACCACCATCATTAGTAAGAGTAAACCTGTCAATTTCAAGTCAAATTCTGTCTATCAAATACTGATGTAGAGCGCCATGACAACCACTCACAGAGAGTGTGGGCAAGTTAGTTCTAAAATCTTGATTAGTGATGGCTCCAAAGAAAGATGTAAATGGTTTTTCCGATATCCAATCCTCTCGAGCTTGGAAAGCTACAACTTCAAATTGACACCTTTTTTACTCTCAAAAAGTATGCACCATATAAAAAAAATACACTAGACATTAGGATCAATTGTTTAGAGATTGATCCAATTTAATTAAAGATCTTGAGTTTGAGCTATAAATATGTAATAGCAATTAAATGTTTGGTAGGAGATATACCCTTCAAGGAGATGTCCGTAAGCTACTAACTAAATTAGTTTGGGTCAAAAACCTACAATACTAGAGGAAAATAAATAAATAAATAAATATATATATATACATACATATAAAGTAAGACATGCTTGCTTCCTTGACCATTCTACACCTCCATGTATCTAAACTATTAATTAATATTAATTAATTAAGGAACAGGAGTTCAAGTCATTTTTTAGTTCACACGCTTTCAAACATCATTGTTGAATATTTTTCTGTCATCAATTTGTTACACTATTGCCTTTTGCTAGAAATATTAATTAAAAACAATGATATTAATCCTCTAGTTTTATTTATAAGATAGAGAGAAGATTAATTTTGGTTTTATTATTTTTTATATTTATCTTTACTTTTTTACCCTTATTAAATGTTAGAAAAATTTATTAAAAATAATTTTTTTATCCTTATTAAAAAATAAAGGTAAAAAATTATTAAATTTTATAATAAAATTAATAAAATTTAAAATTTTTCTTGGTTCGGACTAAAGAAAGTGACTCAAATAAAAATCAAAGAAAGTAGAAAGTCCATCACAATGTATGATAATTCGATATGTTGAAAAATCTCATCTCTAACCGTGGCCCGTAGGAATGCTATTGAGTTACATTTGGCATTGTCTTTTTTTATTGGCAATTCCAAGCCCAATCCAATCCATTAATCGGCCCAACAGATCCTTCAAATGTCAAATGGCCTAAAGGAGTCAACTAAATTGGATTGGGCCAATAGAGTGTATTTAGGTATGGGCCGCAGGGTCATTTTGGGTATATGGGCTTCAGGGCTAAATTAGGGAATTCAGATATTAGATATTAGGGTTTATGAGTTGCCGCATTCGGCTTCTATTTTTCGAACCCTGTGGTGATTCGGTGTAGCTGAGTCCTGAGTCTCTGGGAGATCGTGGAAGCGGTCATCGAGGCTCATCACAATGGTACGCTATTGTTTTCCCTCTAGTCGATTCTTCTTCATTTATGTCTCGATTAAGGATCTCTTATCAACTTCCATCATCCTTTTTGTGATAGAGCATGAGTAAGAACAGTGAGAAGGGATTCAAATCTTCTTTTCGAGGGGATGTTTGTGTTCTTGGATAATCTATAGCATGTGTAATTTTATCTTTGGGGTTTTATTGCTGTGCCAAACATTTTTGGGTTGGAATTTTTCTACGGGAATATAGATGACTGGATCTCTTATTCTACATTGGTTTATTGCTAGAAAGAAAAAGTTTAGTGAAGCGATGTTTTATGAACAGGTTTGTGGAATTGCAGAGCATAAAAGAACCGATTTGCAAAACTGGATGAAAAGGAGAAAATTTTGAATCATAGTATAGTTGTATATGAGAAATAAGGATTCATGAGCGACCTGTCTTTGCTCAAATATCGGATTGGGGATTGTGGGTATTGGGCTATGCCTAGTATTAGAAAATTGAATATGGAAATGGTCAGTACCTGCATACAATCTTTGCTGGTTTATTCAAGCTACATAGACCTTACTGCCATGTTTTTCTTCTTTTACCTGCTCTTTCTCTCTGCTTGAAATTCATGACCATTTCGCTAATCGAATGAATAGCTTCAACTGAGACAATGATAACTTCCCTTATTTGAGGGTAAATTATTTATGATTCTGAGTTCTGACTTTGATGGATACATGTATCATATGACAATTTTTTTAAAAAAATAAATTCTTGGTTTCAAGTTCCACGATACCAATTGTCTAAATCCCATATTGTTTGCTTCCGTTGTATGTAGTATTACTTATTTTTCTCAATATGTTCTACACAGCCTAAACAAATCCACGAGATTAAGGATTTCCTTCTCACTGCAAGAAGGAAGGATGCAAGATCTGTGAAAATCATGAGGAGCAGGGATGTTGTGAAGTTCAAGGTCCGATGCTCCAAGTACTTGTACACACTTTGTGTGTCTGACCCAGAGAAGGCTGATAAGTTGAAGCAATCACTTCCTCCAGGTCAGTAAAAACAAACCAACCACCCTGCCCTTTGTTTGATGCATTTAAGTTGGATCCTGTGTATATATATAGCGATACTAAAGATTGTGACTATATATAGAGATTATACTCTCTGTGTGTGCACACCTATATTCTCTTTTCAAATTTTCATCTCTCTAGCTTGTGTGCGATGTACAAGACGTGACATGTTAAATATGAAGTAACGTGGCTCTAAGCATGCGTTGCTACGCTCGAATTTATTGCAGGGAGACTTCGGCTTTTATCATATATCAGTGCTGGCTTAAATGTTCATGCTTCTTAGGGTGCTATGTCATATTGGCCACTACTCTATAACTTATATTCCTCTCTTTGTTTGCAGGTTTGAGCGTTCAAGATCTGTAAAGGAACTGCGGAAGAACGAAGGGTCTCTTTTCGTGTATTTTATTGGTGCTGGTTTCGTAGTTATTCTGTAGTGCCTCATCAAGAGATGTGGTTTTTTGGCATGTTTGGATAATTTTATTGTTGTTTTTCATTTTAAGGAACATGATTTTTAGTCTATATATTTTGAAAATGAGTGAAATTTAGTTTACATGGATATATAGTCAATTGGATTCACTTAAATTGTCTTTCATGTTTCACGTATGCTTTCCTCCCGTAGTTAAAAATCGAACTCAGAAAATTTTTAAACATTGAAGAAATCGATAGGACGTTAGGAATCTATCCTAGTCATCGGTTTGCAGTTCAATGTTAATATCGGTCATTCTTTATTTTGTTAAACGTTCAGAAGGTTCTTTATATATGTAGCTGTTTTCTTTAATTTTACAGCCATTTTTAACTCTTGCATCACCGAATCATGTAGTTGTATAATTTCATTTAACAAGCTTAAATGTAGTTAAAATTTAATTGGGTTAAATGGTATCAAGGCAAAGGTTAGATGTTTAAAAATGTAAGGTATTTTTATTTTTTTAATGTATAATTAGTTTTTTTTTTTAGAAGTGTTTGTATTGATGAATGATTTTATATTTATTGTAAGGTATTTAATAAAGGGAAGTATGAAAAGATAGAGTTAGTTTGAAAGTAGAGAATTATTTTATTGGAATGTGAGATTGAGTTAAAAATGTTTTATATTTTTTAATAAAAAGAGTAATTTTTTTTAAATTATAAATGCAGTAACATTTAAAATTTGAATTTCATTTCTGGTGTAATGGTTTTTTTTTTTTTTTAACTTTTGAATTAATGTAACTTGACTTTCGTTTTTACTGTTGTCTAGAAAACAATAAAATTTAAGAATTACAATAAATGATTAAAAAATTACAAAAAATAAATAAATAATTATAGAAAAGGATGACGAAAATTATAGAGTTATTTTAACAAAATTTATACATTTTATATGAATATATATGCATCTGAATATATTGTATTGAATATTTTTCAAAAGTAAATATATCAACGTATCATAGTGTTGTTCATGTATTGTATCTATGCATCATAGTTTATTCATTGTGTCATTTAATTTTTATCTGTCACAAGTTGTTTCTTTTATTCTCATTAAATAATGGTGAGAAAAAAATACATAAATACATAAGTAAAATATGCATATTTAATAAAAATAGTCAAAACTTATTAATTTTTTAAATAGTTTATGAGTTTTAAATTTTTTCTTAATTTCAGTTAAACATTAAAATGATTATAAATAAGAATGAAGTGTATATATTTGATTTCAAGTCTGTAGTTTGAAAAAAAAAAAAGAAAAGCTCGGTTTTAGTATGAGCAAATGAATGCCTGTTCCTCTTAAAATCATGTTTTGTATTATTATTATTATTATTATTATTATGGTTTTCAATATGAAACCAATTGTGTACCTATAGGTCCTGTTTGGTACGCAAACTTCAATTTAAAAAGATTGGTATTGAAATTGGCATTAGAATTGATATTAGTATTAGTATTGAGAATGAGTCTTTAAAATCATGTTTGATATGAAGTAATACTTATAAAGAATAATTATTTTTATTTTATTTTACAATTAAATATAAAGTATGAAAAGACTATACTACCCTTGAAATTAAACAAAAAAATTGGAACACCTTCTCGAAAATTGTGGCAGCACAGGCTCATCTTCTCCATTTTGTGACTATGCATCTTTTGAGAGAGGGAGATCGAGTTTGGACTTGTGAGAGAAGGAGACAAAAGTAATTTCAAGATCTAAATGATGGTGGCTGCGAGATCGGCGACGGAGAAGGCAACGATGGTTGCAAGATCCAGAGGTCGTGGTTGTGAGATCCAAAGGTTGATAGTTGCGAGATCGGAGAAGGTCGCAACGACAGTTGTGAGATCTAAAGGCTGTGGTTGCGAGATCGGAGAAGGAGAAGGTGTTCACGTTGGTCGGTGGCTGTGAGATCAAAGAAGATGAAGGTGGAAGGCCAGATGTGTAAAAAATGAAGGGTATTTTGGTCTAAAAAAATTAAATCCCAAGTTTAAATTTTTAATATTACCTCTCTCATGAGTTTCATTAATCCCATCTACATGAGTTTCATTAAATCTAAGGATTAAAGAATCCATCATACCAAACATTATATCTATGAGTTTTTTCAATACCAGTCCCAATCCCAACCTCTCAATACCTCATACCAAACATAGCCATAGTGTATACTCTGGTGGACGCCATGGATTCATCGCATAATTTTCTGACTTGAATTGTTCTATTTTGATAGTCATTTGTCTCTCGAAATGCTGACCCGTATTCTTTGAAGAATTGGCTCTAGCAAGTGTTTCAGAGATAATGATATACTCCGTCTAATATTATTTATAAATTATTTTTAATATATTTTATTAGAATCAAAAAAATTTTTAAACTTTATTAACTTTATCTTAAAATTTAATAAATTTTCACCTTTACCTCTAATAAATATTATTAAATTTCATTATTGATATTTTTATTTTAAACATTTAATGAAGATAAAAATATAAATAGGAGCATTAAAAATTGATAAATGCTTATAAATAAAATTAAATTTTTTCTTCTCATCAGTCAACCAGAGGAATATGAGCAAGTAAGAAATTCCAGTGGATAGAATGTCAAACTGAACAAAAAGAAATGTTCACACCTTATGATTACAGGCTGATCTTTACAAATTTTTGTGAACCGTAAACATCATAGCTTTCTCTCTCTCTTTTCCCTCTATTAATCTCACTTCACGCACGAACTTCCACTCGGTTGTTTGGGAACTTACAAGATTTGAGTGACCTATAACACAAAATGCAATGTGTAAAAATAAAGACCGTCATCTACTGCATTCAAAGAGAAGCATCATCTTTTCTTCCAGTTGCAGTGCTTTAGTTACATCACAGCCAACCACAACAAGTGTAATTTGAAGATGGCATTCGACCGGTTTGACGTATATATTCTACTTGAGCCGCAGTTCTTTCCGCTTCTCGATTTTTTCGAGCCTCAGCAGCAATACGCTTTTCTTCAGATCTTTGCCGTGCCAAAGCAATCTTTTTCACTATCTTTGCATGAGCTTGGGCTCTCATTTGCTCAACTTTGGACTAAAATATGTATAAAGTTTCCATCAGTGACAGTGTAGAAGTCATTCAATCGTAACTCCTAAGGATTTACATCTTATCCGATCATACTGTAACTGTAATTAAAGAAAGGGCTAAATCTCAAGTTGATCACTCGTTAGTGTGTTCATTCTCATTTTAGCCTTTCACATTTTCAAAGTTCATCAAATACAGTCCCTCACAAAGTAAAACTGTCAACTTTGCAAACAGATCTAGCGATATGGCACATTTTGGTAGGCCTTTAAACATGCGCCATCACTGTCATGTCACAAAATCCATTAGAAGAGCTGCTAGTTGACTGTCAGAAGGACTAAATTAGAGGAGTGTTGAAATGCAAGGGACGAAGTTGAAGATTGGTTTAACTGTGAAGAACCAAAATAGGATTTGAATCTGTTATATATCCAAACAGATATATATTTAAGTAGGTTTCAGAATTAATCAGAACAAAGTTGATATATACCCCATTTTTATACAAAATTGAAAATACTTTTTGATCTTGTCAACCAGGATAATAACATAGACACAGCATCAGAAAGAACACTAAATTTCCAAGCTTTTTTTGTTTCCAATCTGCATGTAGAATGAAAAAGAGTGACTACCTCAATTCTCCTCATTTCTGCTTCTAATTTTGCCTTCTGTTGACTTTCCCATGCCTGAATTTTAATTTCTTCTCGCTTATATCTGCAATATTGACATCTATTATCAGATTATAATGGCCTGATGCACTAAAAATATGTTTATATTATTCAAAATTAGAGGACAAAAAACAGAGTTTATTCTAGTTCTTGGATAATGAGTCATGAATCAACAAACCTTGCAGTGTGTTTAGATTTTTCAGCTTCCATCCACAAAGCAGCACGTTTTTCAAATTCAATTCTCTCAAGTTCTTCTTCATTTATGTTATGAACTGAAGATTTGTTCTTGTCCTGCTCTTCTTTACTAGCCCATGCAGCGATATTCGTCTTACCAAGCTGCATTCCTAGAGCTGCAATCTCTCTTCTTGTCTTGAGCTTAATCTCTTCTTCTGACAACTGTTTCTTGTTGCTTCCAACTGGAAAGTGTGAATCCTCATCAGATTTGCTCTCAAAAGGTGTAGGAGCAGGGGCTTCCCTCCTAGGAGTAGAAGGTATTGAGGAAGATGGGCTACGCAGTGGACTTATGGACCCAACCGGTGTAGCAGTTCGTGAAGGTTCTTGACTGGTCACAGGGGTCATCTCTGTTCCCATGTCTCTCATAGCAACTGATCTGATCCCAGGAATAGCTGCATCAGATGAACAAGACAATGTTCTTACCTATATACTGAATATTTCATCCATGGAAGAGAAAATTCATTCATAACAGAAAGCATACATTCATTATGATATCCAAATGGCACCTGCTACTGTCACCAAGATGCTTCATCCACTAATTGCAGAACATGGTCTAATAAACATAGATTATGAAACAGCCAGCACATAACCATATTTACACTCAAAGGCAAATGGCCAATGCTGGTTGCATAAATTTCAGCACTGATAATCTGCTCAAATTTGGGATTCTCCAGCAATCCAAGGAACTAAGTTTATGGAGCATGATTTAGTTACAAAAGCAAATTAACTAATGGACTAAATCCTGTCCTCCTATCATTAATAACTCTTCCACATTTTATCACCTCTCTCATGTTACTCCCTCTTTCCTCTTTCATAAATCAACTTATTCTCTTCTTTCAGTTTATCACATGCTTTCTTTTCCCCTACTCATAGCATGCGTGAGGTTATAAAATTATATATTAATTGATGCTTTCTGTACCTTTTTGATCATCTGTACTTGAGCAGGATATAATTAATTCATTTACATCCTTCAAATCTTTGCTTTGGGGAAGGGAGTCCACTGTTGGAACCCTTCCATGAGCTTGACCTGAAACTGAACGAGCCTCAGATGGAACAAAAGAGAATTTCTCGAACCCAGCATGTGAAGTTGTTGGTTGACAGAAATCAACTCCCTTTGTTTCAGTTACTCTGCTAATTGCTAGCTTATGATGATCATAATTAGCGGACTCTGGAGCAACCCTCACCATGCTTGTTGCTGGCATGCGATTGGCTTGGCTTTGTACAACATTCTTTTTCAAGTAGTTAAATTGTATATTTTGCCTATTCATTATCCATTTCTCAGCATCATTCCACTTAGACGGGATAGGTCTCAACAGGGATCTTGTTGCAGGATTGCTCATTGATCTTTCTCCTTTATGAAACTCAAAACTTGATGAGCTAGCATTACTGTCATAATCAAGATTTTCATCTTCAGTTGTCCTCACCGGGTGAATTGCACTGGAATTGCCACTATCATGCTTCAAAACATGCTGCATCGTCACACGACTCGAGTCACCATTTTCCCTAGGCATTGTCTCCTTTGGCTCATAAGAATTATGAACACAGTGTCTTTGGTCCAGTAGTACATCACTGGATGGCTTTGATGACAGTATCTCTAAGCTGGGAGATATAGCTGAAAGGAAATATGTTTGAATTAGTTCTAAAATTCAATCTTTTCAATGAACATTGCGTTTTAATCCCCAACAACTGAAAAGGAAGAAGAAAACAGTGAGCTTAAACTCTTTTAAGAGGTTCAATGCATAATAGAAGACTAACTGTAAGAAATGAAGTAAAATACATATTGAGATTGCAGATCTCTATCATCAAGGTTGTTGATTTCTGAAACTAGACGAAATGTGTTTAAAACAGCAATGAAATGCCAAACCCTATTCTTTCAACAAGCTTGAAGTTTTGGTCCCCTAAACCACCAAAAAGGGAGGGGGAAGCAGTTAGGAGCTCCATTACATATCAGAGATACAATGAAAATAAAGTCATGCTAGAATTGAAGAACCCCATCAGAAAAGTTGTAACTTTTGGAGCCTGAAGACATGTTTTAATCATTGCCAAAATAAAATAAAAAGAAATCCTATTTCTTTTCAAAGAGCATGAAGTTTTGATGGTCTAAAGCTGAAAAAGGAAAAATAATAAGAAAAAAAAATGCACAGTGAAACAGCTAGCATAAACTGGTGCTAGTGCTCCGATGTACGTAAATGTAAAAATAATATAGAAATATATCAAGATTGTGGACCCTCATCATGAAGGTTGTGGCTTCTTAAAACTGGTGGAAATATGTTCAGTTAGTTCTGAAATACAAATCCAATTCTTAAAAATGAATATGAAGTTTTGATCCCCTAAAATCATGATAATATATATATATATAAGGACCAAAAAGTTCAAAGGAAGGAAGGAAGAAAAGGAGAGACGTCTAGCTTAAGCGGGTACAATATAAGTGTTGTGAATGCAAGTGTAAGCAAAGTTAAACACATTTGCCATTGCAGACCTTCATCGTTAAGGCTGTCAGTTTTTGAGGCAAGCAAGCTGTCCACAAATTCAGCATCCTCAAGCCTTGAAGGTGAAGTTCTAGATGAGTTACAGTTGGATCCATCCTTCTTCTTGTGATGGTGAGCCCCCATAAGCTTCATCCTGAGTTTACTAGGAGAAATTATTCCATTCTGCAGGTGTGGAAAGAACAAATGGGTCAAATCCATTCTCATCTAAACCCTGAAACACATACAAAAATTCAAAAAGTGCCCATCTTTCAACAAAGCTTGAACAAATAAACCCAAAAATTGACCAGTTTCTTCCATCCAAATATACCCCCAAGAAGAACACTAGGGGCAATTCAAACTTTGCTCTGTCTTTTTCATTCTTCTTTTTGGGTCTCAGCTTTCACCCAAACAAACAATCATGACAAATCCAACTGTTTTGGTCACCATAAAAGTAGAAGAAGGAAAAGGCACAGGTTTTAAAATTAGTCTAATCTAATAAAGTTCTTTTGGAGGGAAGTGATTAGATTCGGCCCATGAAAACCAAAGAGAATTGGCAGTTTCTGGAGTCCTTAAGAACATAAAACTTGACAGAAATTCTCAGACACAAGAAAACACCAACCATTTTCCACGAAACCCAGTTTTGAAAACAGTATAAAAGATTGAATTTTTCATGAACCCACAAGGCACAAGAGCAGACAGCCCTATTAACAAAGAAAAGCTCAAAAGAAACAGAGAATGAAAGACTGGGTTTCGTTTCTAGATGCTGCAAGAAAATGCCATACCTGAGCTTTGTCAATCCTTTCGTACTCCATTGGATCTCTCTCTCTATCTCTCGCAAATATAAGATAATAGCAGTGAAAGCAAGAGATTAATCACAGCTTGAGGATGATGAACATATCAGAGAGTGAGTAATGGAGGATGGTTTTATTGTATTTTATTTGGTAGATGCACTGATGCAGAGAAGTGTGTTGGGCGCTCTCTCTCTCTCTCTCTCTCTCTCTCTCGTAAGGTTCTTCTCTGCTGCAGTACGGGGATACTCTCCATAGTCTTTCCGACTTTTAACATCGCCACGCAATCAGAAGCGTGGGGACCACGGTGGGCCCCATGACGTGGAGAGGAGAGATCTAAATCCGGGAAGGCAGTGCTTTCTGAATTGAGTTTCCCTGCGTCCACCATTGACATGCCACAATCATCGTGTGCCGAGGAATTGCCCATTTTGGCTATTTTTTCTTCAGGAAAAAGAAAAGGATAAAGTTATAAAACAGGTAAGTTTTATTATCTCTGATATTTCTTTAGCAAATTGCTTCTAACATATATGAAGAGGGTAACTTTAGTTGAAACTTAAAAGAGATCTATTATGTGCATTATGAGAGTAATTAATATCTATCATAACTTTAGCAGAATGAAATCTGTTAGGTGCATTATAAGAGTAATTAATATCTATCATGTCATTAATAGAGAGTACTTATAATTTATCAACAAAAGAATTACTTCTCCTCATTCTAGGTATAAAAGATAGATAACAAATTCGCTTACATTTAAAAAAATTAGTTAAGTTAATTATTTATAAAACATATATTTGTTGATTTCCTCACAGTACCCTTCATTCTGATTAGTTACATTAGAAACTATCTTTATGAATTGTACATATTTATTTTATTATATACTCTAATTGAGCTAAATTTAAACATTCTTAGACTAGCAGTGTTTTCACAAAAAAAAAAATACATCTATATGACTCAAAACTTCATACTTAAATAATCATAAAATTCGTTTGAATTTCAATTGAATATAATTAATTATAAAAATAATTAATTAATATTATTGATTTTGATTATAATTAATTATGTTATAATACAGTCTATTTCGATATTGTTTTTTTGAAATTAATTTGAACTGTACAAATTATCATAAAGAACATTATTTTTCAAAATTAAATTATTCATAAAGTTATATCTAATATTATAAGATTTGCTAAACTTTATTTAAAAAGTAAAAAATATTATTTATCAGTAAAATTAAATCTATAAGCAATCTTTCAAAATTTATTTCGATACGTGATTTTGGTTTAATGATCAATTATCTAATTTTTTGAATGTTTGGATAACTTTTACTAAAATCAATTATTTTGCCCCAAAAATTGATTATATGATCTATCCAAACAGGCTGATAATACTTCTCACCAAGACTAATGACTGTTAGTTATGGATTGCACAAATTCACGTCTTCAATTAATAGGAATAGTTTGTGAAAAAAATAACAAATGTGATGGATAAAAGAGATCAGAGTTTTGCACTTAAGATCCAATCAAGGCCCCTCAACTAGCCACTACATGCATTTAGGACTAGAAAGAGTATCTATTATCTACTATATTTTGTTATAGAGATGTGATAATAAATTTATATTTGTTCGCCAATGATAATAAATTTATATATAATATAAAATTTTAAAAAATCTATACTGATTATAAATTATAGTCAGTACAATTTAGTGTAAACTTTGCATAAAATACAAGTGTCACGTTATAACTTATAGCGGGTCCAATGGTCCATTATTCATAAGTTAGAAATGTGCGCCTCGTGTTTTTTAGGATTTATTGTAATGTATGAGATCAGATGATATTTAATGTATTATACATACAATAGTAACAAATCACACTTTGTACTATCTATCCACCATGATTTAACTTTTTTGAGACATAACCCGCCAATTTAGTTTTGTTTTACTTGTGTTTTTTTTTTGGGCCAGCTTGTTTTACTTGTTATTGTTAGTTCTTAAATTTATGTTATCTGCTTATCCATGTCCTAGGAAAGTAAATTGCAGAGTAGTTTCACTCTCACCTACTCTCATAGACCATCGCCCAAGTCCGCCAAACAATTTTGAATAGATTTAGCATTTTTTTTCTTTTTTAATTATTAATTAAAAAGGTATCTATAGTTATTTACCAAAATATTCTCTCTGTTAAAGTATTTTTAGTAAAGTTATATTTTTGATAAATTAATTAATTATCTTTAAATTAAACTCATCTTTTTATTTTTGTACTTATTTAATAGGGTATTTTATTTAAATATAAAGGTTGAGTGATTTATTCTATTAGGGATATTTTTAAAAAATATCATTAATTGCATATTAAAACACTAAAACTGTTTTAAATTTTTGAAAATCTGACCTAAAAATTACGTTATATTTTTTAATAGAATCTGAAGTCAAAAGCCTATTTATCAAAAGTTTTGAATCCAAGATATGGGAATTTAGAAGTGTTAAATACTTGGGTGGAATAGTTTTTTTTTTTTTTTAAATCTTTTGTGATCTTACTCAATTGGATTTGAATTAATATGAACCTAGTTAGATTCTCTAGCTAAAAGCAAGATAGAGACCCGTAATATCAAGTCATCAAATAAAAAAAAATCAGCATCTAAATCATTATTTATGATATTTTTTACACAACTGATACCTTAAAACTACTTCATATTGAGTTGAAAAAATTTAACATAAAGGACTCAAAGTAATTCCAATTAAGCATGACAGACCCATTCAACTAAGTTTTAAAACATTATTGTATTTTCAAGACTTCAAGTAAAACCTATTTCATTTATTTTAAATTATAAAATGCTTTTAAGTAAAGTTCAGCATTTTAAAATATAAAATAATTTTAAAAAAAATAAAATTTCATCCACAATGTTTTTTCAATGTCAGCCTTTACAGTTGACATTATATTCTCTTACTTTAAATGAAATAATAAATAAAGAATATTTTTAAAATTTTATATTTTTATTTAAAAAAAAAAGACTTAGAATGTATTTAATAAATTTTATTTAAAAATATCTCACAGACTAGTCAGTGGAGAATAGTCATCTGGTTATTTGTATAGAGTACTCGTATGTGGTGGCGATAATCCCGGAATGGAGTGGCTTTCACACAGCTTTTGAATGCAATGAATATGATTGGACGGCGATGAGGACAAAATGGGGCTATTCACACTTGGACTTCCAGGAATTCTCCGTTTCATTTTCATTGGTCCAAATTTCTGCCTTCATATTTAAAATTAATTAACGAGAAAAGAAGAAAAAACAATGTGACCGGTCAAAGATACTCCTGACATGGTATGGGAGAAAGATACACACTTCAATTTAACTTTGGATTTTATTTATAACTACAATTATATTTTAATAAATTAAACTAAATAGAGTAAAATTAGAGGGCATGGGCAGAAAGCGAATGTTAAGGGAATACTATAGTGTCAGACGGTCCAGAATTCTATAATGTGACTGACTTTACCTTTCACTTCTTATTTCACGCTTTCCTTATAACCTACAGTAATACAATGCAACCTTACAAAGAATAAGACAAATTTGATTACGAATACTCCACCAGCGCTAAATTATAAAATAATTTTTTAAGCATTTCATTATAAATAATTTGGTAAAAATAAAATTTTATTAATAATATATTTATTTAAAAATTAATAACTTTTTAATATTAATCTTTAAATGAAGATAAAAATAAAATAATTATAATGTAATAATTAAATATATGATTTTAAAAGGTAGTATATTGAATGAATGATATTTTTAAAGGTTTATATTTTTATTTTTAAAAAGATAAATTTATAAAGTGTTATTAATAAATTTTATTGATATTATAATTTCGTATTAAATTCCCTTATACCTTGAAATGAGGGAACTGCTATATTCAACTTACAAGAAATGAATTATAATTATATTTATAAAAAAATTACTTCCTCCAATTTTTTATAGAAGAAGATACATTAAACAATTTCACATTTACTAAAAAATGATAAATATATTCTTGATTTTTAAAAAAATATATAATTTTCTAATGTTGCACTTTTTATAATTAATAACCTTAATAAATTATTATCTATAAATTCAAATGATAATAATCAAATAAGAGATAAAATTTAAAAATAATAATTAGTTTAACTTTGTTTTATATTAAAATAAAAAATTTTAAAGTTTGTCTTGTATTAAAAATTATAATGTAAGTTATTAGTTAAATTTAAACTATAACTTAATTAATCTAAATATGTTTAAAGATGGTGTTTTTATTAATAATCTTTCCTTTGAAATGAGAGTTGAACGTGCCCGTGAGACCATCAATTCATGCATTGCACGAATATTTTCTAGACACTAGCTTGTATAATACTCCCTTTATCATAAATTATAAAATATTTTTAAATAAGTTTTTTTATTTTAAAATACAAGATATTTTAAATAGATTAATGATTCATTAAATACATCAATCTTATTTTTATCCTGTTTCTTTATATAATTAATTCATGTCCTTTATTTTTTTAATATATTAAATAATGGGTGTTTTTAAAAATTTATATTTTTATTTTAAAAAGATAAAATTGTTAAATGTATTTAATGAAATTTATGAATATATAAAATTTTATTTAAAAATATTTTATAATTTGAGACAGAGTCAGTACTAAAAATGTGGGACATACAGACATGACAACTGATAATTATTAAAAAAATAAACATTTTTCAATTTATGCTAATAAAAAAGACAAAATATGCAATTCAAGATAAGCTATATCATCCATTGGATCTTGCCATTATTTACAATTTATTGGGTTCCTGAAAGATGAGGTAATAATTAATGATTGATTTTTATAGATTTCTCGTGCAGGCTGTGATAATTATTAAATGGTTTAAATTATAGTAAATTTTAACAACTTAATGATATATATTTTACTAAATTTTAGACTTATGATCTATGAACCTGTGACCTTGACACGTGTTAATTGATGTACAGATTAACTCAAAGATGCTATGCAATAATAACAAAACGTAAGTTATGATCACCCATCATATGATGCCAAAAAAAAAAAAAGGTAACACATCGTATACACTTAATGTCTAAATCTTGGATTAGCGGCGAAACGTAATACGTGCAATCATCAAATAATTTGCCTGGTCATTATCATCCCTTATTATTTAGGCTCTTAATGTTCGTCATTTAAAAAAATTACTTGATTCCATTAATATGA